ATGTCTTTCCAAAGTTAACTCCAGTTCTCAGAGTCAATAGCCCAGGTTTTCTTCTAATATATAGCTCATTTACAAAGTAAGGGCATTTTGTAGATTTCAAAAAAAGCAATGTAAATGATGATAGCTTTACCATTGTAATAAATAGCTAAATACTTCTTTGGCAGATATTTCTAGAAATAACATAGTATATTAGTAAAGAAAGAAGATAAACCCCATCAAGGCTAGCAAGATCCAAACCAATAGCAGGTCCAAGTTTTAACAACAGAGGGTCAGTGGGTCTTTATGACAATTCTTTAGCATCATGTGTTGCAGATGTTGCAGCTCACGCATTGGGTTCACGAGGATCTGTCCAAAGAAGACTCAGAGACACTTTTAAGAATGAACTTAGCCTTTCTCAGCTGCGAGGATCTTCAGCCTCAAAGAACTGAAGCTTTCCCTATGCCCAGGGCATTTTTATTTTTCTCAATATTTACACTTTAGCCAGTTGATAATTTCATCCACAATCGCCATCTTAAAAACAAAATCTGCACTTGTGCTTTTAATCTTCCATCTCAGCCCAGACGTCCCTCTTAGACTTCAGACTTTAATGGTCAAGGGGCTTCTCAACACTTTCACTTGGTGGCATCTCAAAACTCACACATTCTGAGATTAAAACTTTTCTAATTCCTGATCTCTGGACATGAAAACTGTTTCATTGCCAACTTTCCCTACATCAAATGACACAAACTACATCCGTCTTCTAGTTCAGACTAAATATTTCCACTTCACTGACTTACCTCTTTACTCTCCTCCTGACACCAATCACTCAAAAATGCGACTGTGATTTTTATATATCCGATTCTCAAATACCTCTCACTACCTTTATTGCCACCTCTCTAGAGAGGGTTATTATCCCCCTTTTGCAGATTGGCTACAATATTCTAATACGGGGAGAGTCAATAAAAAGTTTTGCAGAGAGCCATTCACAGACACATTCTACTTTTAGACCATGCAATCACTGTGACACTTCTCAGTTACTCTAATGAAATGGCCACCATGTTCCAAAGTCTAAGTACAAATCACAACAAAACATATATGGACCACAAGTTAACAATCTGCAAACCCCTAATTAAACCCCTTTCCTTGTTTCCATCTCTACTCAGTCAACTTTTCTCAGCACAACAACCAGAGGGTCCCTTTTAAAACAGGAGTAACATCATGACAATCCCCTTTCTCAAACTCTGCAACACCTCCTGTTTTCACTCAGTGACCAAGGCCTTAGGTGTTGCAACCCCAGGTGCATCATTGCATCTTGTATCTTGCTATACCCTCTCATTTGGCCACTCTGCTGCAGCTGCACTGACCTTCTATCTATTTCTCAAGACAGGACATCTGTTCTGCTGCCCCCTTTCCCTGGGTATCTACAGGGCTTGTACCCTTACCTTTACTTCTTAGCTCAAATATCCTTCAGTGAAGCCAATTTTTCCTCATTGTGCCCATCCCTCCTTTGTTCTACTCTTGTTCCCCCCCAAAAAATTTACCACTTGCTAACATTGAAATGATATATGTGAGAATATTCATTGCCCCTCAGTTTCACCTATAATTTAAGATCCACAGATCCATGGCCTTATTTTAACCTGAGATTTTAGAGCAGTGGCTGTAGATGGTAGGCGTTCAAAATGTGTTAAATGAGTCTTTGTAGCCTACTTAAAGTGCCAGAGATGGAGTGAGCTCATCTTTTCTCTGTACTAACTCTTCATACACACTATTTGTTCAACGCTAAATCATTATTATTTATGTATCAGTCTTTCTCACTCCTAAACCAGGCTCTTCTTACACATTTTTACATGTCTCTTGGAAGAAATACATATAATGTCTTTTATGTAGCAAAAGATCAAATCATGTCGGCACAAAGGTGCTGAATACATAGATTTCTTTGACATCAAATTACTAGCTCTGCAAATTAGTTGTTATTTCAAAAGTTATCAACCTCTACCCTAAGTATCTGTATATAAACACTCACTAATTGAGATAATTTGAAACCATTCTTTCACATATTTGCTTAATTAGCCTGCAGTGACCTCTGCAGAAACACTGGCCTGTGATGATTCTAAGAGGTAGTTTTTTTGGCATGGACACCAAAGCATCAAAGAGTCAGCTGGAGCTAAGGAAAGCAATAACACAACTGGTTTTAATTACTCATGACAGGCAGCTGAATATATCAGACACAGGGCTTCTCCTCAATACATCACTCAAAAAGGCCAGTTAAAGAAAATGATAGAGAAAATGAAGATGGAACCAAAATGTGTCCATGATACAAAGCAGATCACCTTTTACACAGGTGACCTTTTTTACAGGTGACCTTATTCATTTCCTTTTTTATTTTTATGATAGTCTGAAATCATTGACATTGCTGTCCCCTAAAACATGGTGCACTTCTAGGCTGGTACTTACCAGTGGTCACTCAGGTTTTTGAATGAGAGAACAGGTGATGATTACACCCTTTCATGAATCACCATATAAACTGTGGGGTCCTCCAGAGTTCATTCAGAATTGCAGACACATTTGCAATTAATTCATTTGTGGAGTGCAGGCAAACACTTTCTACTTCCATTCAAAATTCGGAGCTGAATCAACCTTATCTATAAACTCCTTCTCTTAGACATGTTTGGGAAACCAATGGGAAGTAGAGGATTGATTTGTTACAGCCTACACATAACTTGAACAATCTCTTTCTTCACACTCACCAATGAAACTATGGGTTGGCCACATCCTTAGGTTGTGGACACAGACAGAGAAACTGAGACTACTGCCCTAATTAGACAACATTTTTGTCTCAGGATCTAATCTTGTTATAGGGATCCTTTGCCTGATTTCTGAGCTCAGGGCTTTCTTATTTCTGGGAACTTTCTGGTTCTCATCACATGCATTATTTAATCAGTATTTTGACTAGCCTTGCACACTTGCTTCAAGCAATATGAGAAAAGCTTCTTCTTCCTTCCTTCCTTTCTTTCTTTTTAAAGTAGAAATCAACAAAACCTAAGCATTCTGGGACAGATGAAAATTAATGCAATCTATTCTACATTTTAAAACGTTGCCTCTGTAAAGACCCTAAGCCATACATCTCGATTCTATCAGGGGACTACAAATAGGTGCAGCTGTAGGGGGCAGGTGGGCATAAAATAGGCTAGAGAGGGAAGCCAATGCAAGATTGTGAAGCTATTATACAGCATTCTCAAGAGCTGGGTATCACTGAAAGATTATATGTGGATCTGTCAGTTTATATTTCAGAATAATTGGCATCAATATTTAAAAAAGTCTAGCTTCATGAGTCCTTCATGACCAGTGTTCTAAAACAAAGCTGATCCTAGAATCAGTTAAATGACTTAATAAATAGATACAAATGATCTGATCCCATGTCATAGAAACAAACTGATGGTAGTGAAATTCAGAAATCTATACTGATGAATATCTCCAGTTGATTTGGAGGCAACTGGATTATGAAGTGGTACTTGGGAACATAAGTAATCTACCAATTATACCACTGGTTTCCAGATGTGCCTGTTTACATTGCTTCCTTTGACAGAAGGAGCTGACCTTGTGTCACTCAAGTGTCTTCCTGCCACTAGCTCTATGGTTATACCAACAGGACCAGAAAAAGACATCTCCTGCTTGCAACCTCTAAAAATCTTCTGCTTATTTCTTTCAGAAACAGACCCAAACTTTAACATAACCTCTTAAGACCACTTTATCTGGTTGGCAGTCCCTCATGACACTACTGTTTTTGTTTTGTTCTTGTTTTACATTGTACCTGTTACTAACAATACAGAGGACTGTATTGTTAGTTACTAACAATACAGAGGACTTGAAATTTTTTTCTCTGTTAAATTATGGACACATTAAGAATTCAGGAGTTTCGGTGGTGGCACATGCCTTTAATCCCAGCACTTGGGAGGCAGATCTCTGTGAGTTTGAGGCCAGCTTGGCCTACAAAGCAAATTCCAGGACAACTACTCTATCTTAAAATTATATATATA